CGCCGGCTTGAGCTGCAGGATGTCTGCTTTGCTTTGACATGCCTGGCAAGCCCCCCCTATAGCCAGGACATCTTCCTCCTCCTCCTTCTCCTCCTCCTCCCCGCCAGGAAACCTATTTTGGAGAGGGGCGGGCGGAAGGGAGCAGGAGGAAGAGGGCTGGGGGCAGCGGAAGGGACCAGGGGCGTGATGCATGTCCTGGCATGCACGAGTGTCTGGGGAGCAGCAGGCAAAGGTGGGGGCTGCTCGGATACGGGATGCCCTGCATTAAGGAGGGGAACAGGGCCATTTCTTGCACCCCTAAATCATGGGAATTTCTTGTGGAGAGAGGGAGTGACTAAGCCATGAAAGACAGGCTTGTTCCCTTGCCCCACAGCTGGATCTGGGAAATTTTAGGGTGAATGGCATATCGGTTGGTGAGGCTCAGTTCAGGAGGGAGCCCCACTGTGCACAGTGGATGGGGCAGCAAACCAGGGCTGCACACCTGCCATCATCGTGATGTTCGGACGGTGATACCTCATCATGTGGGGTACCACCCTGTTACCTCTCAGGGGGCTGGGAAGCTGCCTTTTCCCTCCCCTAAGCAGCATCTGATGGGGGCTTTCCCCCGTCGTGCCAAGCGGGAATGGCGTCCCTGCGAAAAGCAAGCCTTGGGCAGGCAGGATCCAGCTGGAAAAGTCTGGCTGTCTGTGGAAGAAGCAATAAATCTCTGGAAGCTGGAAAATAGCGGTAAAGAGGAAACGCTGGAGCATGCTGCGCCGCCTCTGCTGTGCCGGCAGGCTGCTTGGGGCGCCATCTCCAGGGTCAGCCCCATCCTGGGCAGCACTAGTGATGCGATGGGGATCCTGTACTGTGGACTGGGTGCCCCTCTAGGCTCGCGGTGGATATTTGAAGGGGCAGGGAAGATGGAGGAGGTGTTATTTTCATCGAGGGGTTGTTTTCTTTTGGGATTTGGGGGGGTATGTCTGTGGGATTTTATTTTTTCTTTTAATTTAAACAAAGGCATACAAAAGTGCAGGCAGAGGAAGGCAGCAAAATGAGAACTTAAAACACTCCAGAGCAAAGGAAAGTGCAAGGTTGTAGAAGTAGCTGAGAAAGCTAGTAGCACTTAAAATGCTGGAAAATAATCTGGATGCTCCAAGTTGGCATCTGAGCAGTTGCTTGTTTCAGTGGCATCCACCTCTGCAAGCACCTTCATGCTGGCAGGTGAAGGGCTGGCTGGGGAGGTCAGCTTGTGGAAAGCAGATCTAAGAGTGATGCAGTGCTGGCGTTGATGAAGTTGCAGCTTTTAGATTACTGCTTTCATTAAAGCAGTCCCCAAAAATTTAAATGGAGAGCTGTACTGCACTCGGGGTATATCTGCAACGAGTGATGGCCCCAGCCTCTGAGACATTACTGTCTGGCTAGCCGGGCAAGCACAGAGCAATGAAGTTACCTGCACGAGATCGTGGATACCTACAGGGGGGAAAAAAAGGGATATTTAATGCATGAGGATACACAGCCTGGAGACCAGCGTGACGCTGCCATCGGTGGTTGGAGCTCTTCTTGCTCTTGTGTCGGCAAACAGCAGTGATTGTAGGATGGGGAGGGAAGAAAATACCAAGCTTATGTCTGGGACAAGTTGTTGTGTTAAAAATGAGATTATTCCAAGCAAGGTGCAGTGGAAGGCAGGGTTACTGTGGCGAGCCGATGAGGTTTTCTCCCTCTTGTCTTTCCTTTGGGAAGAAAGATGTCTTAATTATGTTCTGTGCTTCTTGGTGGTGGAAGGATGTATGGTTTTCATGGAAAAAGTTACTCATCATAGCCTAAACCCTGTTTTCATTAGTAAGTGAACGTTGCTTTCTCTTAAGAAATCCAGCTGCTGTTGGATTAAAACTTCCATTCAGAGGTCCTCTGTGCTCTGTTAAAAAAAGCAAATGGAGTCAGGCGGTGCGGAAGGGACAGACGTGGGGTGTTCCTGGAGCGCATTCGGGCTGAAACCGGGAACATCTGGAGATGGTTCAGCTGGCTGCCATAGGCAGACCTCGCCGCTGGGGTGGGTTTGATGAGTCAGAAGAGGCTCTATCCCTTCAGCTGATGCTCCCAAATGATTAAGAAATATTTTGAGGATAGCCTGCAGCCTGCTTTCGGTTCTGTGTTGGGTGTTTTGGGGCAAATTTGATTGGAAAGCAGATGCTGCTCCTCGCACTGGTGTCACCCCAGCCTTGCCGTGGGTGGCAAGGGGGTGTTGGGGTGGGTACTGCTGAGTGCAGTGGGCGGTGTGCCAGGGCAGAGCAATGTTTCCTTGCAGAGGGAAAACCAAACCAGAAAGGGCTGCAGTCTTTTCTTCACCTCTCCCAGCCAGCACAGAAACACCAATCTTCCTCAGGGTCTCTTCTCCCCTGGGAGCCACCGAGAGACCTTTACTTTAGGAGTGGCAGTGATTAATTTGGGGACATTCTCCTTCTCCCAAGAGGATAAACACGGGCTTCATTATGCCCTCAGACAATGAACAAGCCATGCCAGGCTGGATTTGGGTAACTTTCTGCAAAGCCACGAGCTGCCTTATTTGGAGCTGGATTTGAGCACGGACCAGCTTTCGTGACTTTTCTGCATAGCCAGTGTCTGGAGAACCTTGGGCTCTCCCAAGTGTGAGAGGGATGAGGGACCGTGCCGGCAGGGAAGTTGCATTGGTTTCTGTGGGAGAAGTGTTAAAAGCTGATTATTTTGGTGACAAATTGTGAAAAGGCTTGTAAAATCTTCCCACCCTCTCCAGGGAGCTGGTGGGGATTTTCTTCCTCTGGTAAGTGGAAAAGCCCTGAGGTCAGCTTGCCCTGCGAGTTTTGCACAGATTGTGTGGTTTTGCCCCAACTTTGATGGCATGCCTGTAAAAATCTCTTGGCTGGGATTTGCAGAAATGAGCAAGGAGGAAAACCACCAGCTGACCTCCCGAGGGGCAAAGCCAGACTCCCACCGACAGCCTGTCTTGCAGATCCCAGTCCTCGTGTGTTCACTGAGGCTCTGCTGCGCTTGCACAACCAGTGACTTTGCACTTTTACTGAACAAACTCTCTCTTTTTTTTAATGTGACCTTCATGGTGCCTCTCATGCCTGTAGCCGACTTGACTCAGACCCTTTTGAAAAAAATCGTGTTTCCGCTTCTGTCCTATTTGGTAGTTATCTTCCCTTTTTTAAGATGAATGGCTTCAAGGATTTAGGACACTCAAAATTAAATTGGTGTGTGAACAGGTTCTTCCAGCCTTTCACAGAAATTATATTGAATTCTTAAGGGTTTGGTTTTTTTTTTACATGTGTGGATTTTATTTTCCTCTCTCATGGTTTTAAATGGAAGGGGGGGGTGTCATGGAGAACACAGTGAGTCCTGCTGGAAATGCTCTGGCTCAAGTTCTTCTCAGTGACACCTTCCCCGCTGCAGTGCCCCAGTCTGCTCCCGTCCTCCACTGCCATTCCGCACCCCTCCCTGGAAGAGAAAACAGTGAGGAATTCAGCCATAAAACTTCCCATTATTTGGACATAAATATTCCTGTGGTAAGCTGGGTTGATGCTCCATATGCTGAACATCTCCCATGTTTGAAGCATGTTTTTATCCTTCCCATGGGGGCTCCGTCATGAATGTCTGCATGCACACGTGTGTGTGCGAGTACTCTGTTCTTCTGCCGGACAACAGCGCGGGCAAGGCAGCGGTTTCAGCCTTGTTGGCTCACAGAGCTGTTGAGCTCTGTTGAGCATCTTCATGGTAGCCTCCAAAAGCGGTGTGGTTGTGCCTTGGCCTGAACCAAGGCTTTGCTCTGCTTCAGTCCCTGTATTAGGACATTAAGGAAAGCCATACGTGCCGGAGGAGTGGGAGAGCGCGGTCCCAGCTCACAGCCCACCCACGGGGACCTGCGTTACGGTTTCTCTTTTTCTATCACATTATGAAATTAAACAGGCAGTGAACTGAGCAGTGGAAGTGATCGTCACAGGGGTTCCCGTGCTCATGGGACACCTTAGAAGAAGACTAGATATTAATCAAAGTGATGCTACAAGGGCAGCTGGTGTGAATCCTTGTCTGTCCCCTCCTGATGTGGGACATCCCTGAGACCCATGGGGAGGGGAGTAATCGGATATAACGCAAAGATGCTGCTGGAAATGTTACCAAGTCCCATTGAGTGTGGTTTCTTAGTCATCTGTGTGCTCCTAAACACTGTGCTAAATGTCAAGATGTGGACATCGTGAAGAGTGTGTTTTGGGGGGGTTGGAGGCATTTTGGATCCCCTGCGAGTGGGTGCAGCGGCAGTTCAAAGCCACGACGTCTCTGCTCTTGCTCTGCATTACTAGCAGTTTTACTGCCTTTCGGTGTTGTGCTGGTTGGACAAGTCTCGCCCGAGGCAGAGCAGCTTTTGGGGGTCCAGAAAGCTCGGTCCCACTAGGTCTGCTCAGGCTGGAAGCTTGACCCTGGATGGGGGTCTGGGGGCAGAGGGAAAAACTGACAGTCCCTCCACTGTTTGAGCCACAGTCTCCTCATCCTTCCTACCCAGTTCTCAGCAGATCAAACAAAACCCAAAACCCTGTTTGTATATCACAGAGAAATGAAATGGGGTGAAAACAGCCCGTTGGGAAAAGGGAGTAATTGGGGCTGATCCTAACTTCTTGAAAAGCTCTCCTAAAAGCCTCAGTCACACATCTCATGCTTCTTGGGTAAGGCTGAGCCTTCCATAATAGAGTAATAAAATAGCTCTTAGGAAAGGAATCACCTGCAGGAACTGGAAAGGGCTTTGCGCATCCCCAGGATGAGGGGTCTTCTTATAAAGCAGGGAAGATTGTGTGGCTCATGGTATGGGGCACAAAGCACGTTGCAGGGGTGGGATGGTGGTTAGGAAGGATGTTCTTGTACATGAAAGGAGTAAATAAGAGTTTGCGGAAAGATGAAAAGCAAGCCTTCTGCTCCCACCTGAAAACTGCCACGTGGGGTCCAGGGCAGCTGGAGCAGTGAGTAACGCCTGCTTCCCTCTGCTTTCTCCCCAGCTGGCTGGAGGCATCATCCTGGGAGTGGCCCTGTGGCTCCGGCATGACTCGCAGACAACAAATATTCTCTACCTGCAGCTGGGGGACAAGCAGGCCCCCAACACCTTCTATGTCGGTAAGTAGGTCTGGGGATGCTGGCATCGCTGCGTGGGCGTCATGCCCCAGGGTGGGCCGCAGCATGCCCAAAAGCAGGGTGGAAAGCTCTGGGTAAGCAGCAAAGAGGTTTGACTAAAAATATGTCCTGCTTCCCCCATACTCCCCAAAATATCCCCTGCCATGCCAATCAAAGCGTTCATTAAATGTTGGCTGTGGCCCAACTGCAGAATCCAAAGTCACGGCGGCTAAAAGTGCAGAAAGACGTGTCATGGCATAACAAGTTTTCTCCAGTGCCGTTATCCTCTGCGGTCTCCCCTGGAGCACGTTTGGGAAGAGGGGGGACTTCTTGGAATCGTGTCTCATTTCCTATCCAAAGGGATGTAAAAGTAGCTGACGGAGTGGCTCGGCGAGCTCGTGACTCATGTTCTCCAGGAGGGACAGGTGGAGCCTCTGTGTGTTATGGTTAAGCTTAGCATGATTTTTATTAATTTGACAGCATGCTGGCTTGCTGGAATATGAAAACCCCTATTTTTGCCCTATTCTCCAACAATCCATTACAGACAAGGGGGAACAGCTTGCAGGAGGGGCTGGCTGCCAGGCAGGGGCTTGGAGTGCAAGCTGCCGGGGCTGGGGCTGCAGACCCATCTGATCCAATGTCCTGTTCACACCTGCAGCTGAAATTACGTTCTGGAAAGGGTTTTCCTTTGGTTTTCCCTGCTTGCCCATGAAACGGCGTGCCTGAGCCCTCTCCCTGGCTGTGCCTGGTTACAGTAGATGCTCCTGCTGTAAATATCAGTGGGTTTTCCTCTCTTGCTGTCTCCCCTCTCCTACCTCACACCCAGAGCTGTATTTACAGCATTTCCACTTTGTAGATTTTCGATTTTAAAAAGAGAAAGGGGAACGCTTAAGAAGTTAAACTCTCTCCGGCAACCAGACCAAACATCTCCTTCCTTCTGGGGGCCAACAACTGATGTCTCCCTAGTTAACACATTTCTCCCAAAACCTGGGGAACCTGGAACGCGGGGGCTGACTCCTCCCCTCCCAGCTCTTGGGCATCTGTTGTTCTTCCACCCTTTTTTGTTTTTGTCTTTGTCCTCGGCCTTTGCTATTTAGAAGGCAACGGGGAATGGACCACGGGTCCCACCACCGCGCTGGCTTTCTGACGCCCATGATTTGATGCTGGCTGTCTTTTTAAAGTTATATTCAGCAACGCATCGGCCTGGATTCCTTCTGGCAGCTGTAATTTCCATGCACTAATAACAGCAGAGCATTTCTTTCAGCTGCTGCCTCTCCCAGCCAGCCCTCTGGAGTCTGAAGGCTGGGATTTCTTTTTGCTTTTCCTTTTTTTTCCCCCCTTTTTTTTTCCCCCCTCCACAACCAATCCTCCCTCCTTTTTCTCCTCTGGCATCCAACATACACATGCACACGATGTTCCTGCTTCGGGAGCGGG